TTTCTGTTTTTGCAGATCCCCGAACATACACCCAGGTTGTAAATCCCTAGTTATGTTACTGTCACAAGGAGTTGCTCGGTGTGCATAGTACTCAGTTATTTCAACGGATGCATGGTCTAATCTAGCGTTTGAATGAATTTCATGGAAATGAACTGTTGCAAAGAAAGTGTCAAATTTGCACCTTATACCGGTTTCTACCAACATCGATCATTACTGAAAAAACCTACTCAGCACAGAGAACGAACATGAACTAGCATTCACGCCAAGGCCAGAGATGAAAAAAAATTCAGGGATCTGGCTAGGGTAATTACTGAAGTCGATGACGACAGCTGGATCAAAAAGAAAACGCTTTTGCCGTTGATCAGTTTCTTTTTGAGATGTGTACGCATTCTACTTGGGTTTGCCCATGAGTAATGGCCTTTTTTCCCTACATTAAATTTTGTGTGAAAAAAGTGAGGATTTTTTTGACTATGAGTGTTCGACTGCGTTTGATAGATAACTGCTGCTCTACAAGGGACTGTGCTTGCTTTCTTATTACCTTGCCACTATTGGCAATTTTAGTTCAACAGAATGGAGCGACGGGTCGACACGAATGAGAACCATCGACACCATTGCACATTACAGAACAATTAGCTAAAGCAATCAGTGATCTATCCGTTGCTTCAAGCCCTGTTATTGTAATTGGTGATTTCAACATGCCAGAAATTGATTGGGCACAATGGAATCCCAATAGTGAAAATTCGCACCCCTCTCACGGAAACTTTTGCATATCGGTTTTTCACAGTTTGTCAAGGAGCCCACAAGAGGTGAAAACATATTAGACTTAGTGCTTACGAATGATCAGCACCTTATTAACAATATCGCTATCAATTCTGCTCTTGGGCACAGTGATCACTCCAGCATTTCTTTCGATATTACTGCATCGCTTCCTCCTTGTTTGCCAGTTTTCAAGAGACTGTTTCATAAATGTGACTACTCCCGTGTCCTCAGTTATCTTTCTGGTATCCTATGGGTTGAATCCTTTGAAACCCTATCCACGGTTGATGATAAGTATTCAATGTTCCTTTCTATACTCAATCACACTATTGATCAGTTCGTACCCTGGGCTCTCGTCTATCCGAATAAGCGCAATCTACCTGAATACTTACGTACATGTTCGAGCATAAAGAATGCTTGTTTCATCATGCGAAAATGACTGGCGATTGGGTTGAGTACAACAGATTTTCCTCAGCTTTTACCAGAAGGCTTATGAAATTCAACAGAAATGTTGAAAAGAAAATTGTTGAAGCTAAGGACAAGCAGCGTTTTTTCAGATTCATGAGATCTAGGCTGCGCGAGAAATCTCAATTTACGGATTCTCTCCTAACGGTATGAAGCAGACTACTTCTAAATCCGCGATAAAGCCAATGCTTTTGCTTTTGAGTTCAGTAAAGCATTTCAACAAGACAGTGATGGTTTACCCTCATTTTCGCCCACTGTCTCTTCTAAAATGCAGTCCTTTCCCTACTTTGATCCCAGGGATGTGTACAGTCTTCTCATGAAATGGCCATGTTCATACGTTACAACGCCTGACAGAATTCCTTTCCAATTCATTAAAAATGTTGCTCAGGCCATCGCGTTTCCACTTATATTTTAATAATCAATCCCTAATGGTACTCGCAGTGCACATTATGACAACTTCCTATTCGACTCGAGTGCTTAGACAAGCGCATCATCGATAATTCCTAACTATAGGCCAATAAGTATCACTTCTTTCTTCTGTAGGGTCTTTGAAAAGTTGCTGAAAACACACATCCTTTATCATCTTGCTGAGAATGAAATAATTCCTGTTTCTCAGGCAGGCTTTGTGTGGGGAGTCAACTCGTACAAGTCTTTGGAAAACGCCTCAAGACTGCTGTAGCCTGGAAACAAAGCAAAGTATAGATGTTATATTTTTTGACTTCACCAAAGCTTTTGATAAGGTTAGCCACTCAAAATTACTATTCAAAATTAGCAAGCTAGGGTTTCATGATAATGTTTATGAATGGATAAAAGCTTTTCTCACGGGTAGGACTTATCAAGTACGCGTTAATGCTTCGTACTCAGATATTTTTTCTTTCCGGAGTGGGATTCCTCAAGGTGGGGTCCTTTCCCCTATACTTTTCAACATTTATACGGCTGACTTGAGTTCTTTCTGTCTACGGGATGAAGTTGTGTCCAAACAATATGCTGATGACCTCAAGTTCTACAAAGTTATAAGCTCCCCTCGTGATATAACTTGATTTACAGGCCACAAATGATCGCATCCTCCAGTGCAGCCGACTGCAGATACGCTTTCTTCTACAAAGTTTTCATATGCGCGTGGTTCTTTCTTCCACTTGCATGCATTACTTATAACATCAAGTGATTAGCACGGTGAATCAGGTTAAGGATCTTGGGTTCCTATACAATAACAAACTTGACTTTTCCCTGCACTACAAGCACATATACAAGAAAGCCTTTCATCGAACCTATTGCATATTTAAGGCTCTCACTACCGCGGATAGTAGGGTGCTTGTTAGAGTTTACAAGACTTATGTTCGGCCTTTGGTAGAGACGGGAACGGTTGTATTCGCCCCTTATAAAAAAAGGGACGTGGCTCTTATTGAAAAAGTCCAAAATAATTTCACCAGAAAGATGTTAATACGTCGAGGTGGCTTCTGTATGCTAAAACCCTAAGCAAAATTAGGAACAATATCGGCTACCGCTCACTACATTCAGGCGGGCCCTTTTTGACTTATGTATGTTGCATAAAATCTTGAAGGACAAATCCATACTTGATTTTTCTCGATTTTACACCCTTATTCCGTCCATAACCAGAGGTGGTCAGCATAAGCTATCATTTGCGCGCCCTAAAACAACCCTTAGGCGCAATTTCTTCACTATCAGAGCGGGTCTCGCGTATCTACGGTTGGGTAAAACCACATTGTTTAATGGTTCTATGAATTCCTTCAAACGTGCCATAGCTAAGCAAGTTCTCAGTGCGTAGGTGCCATGTTTCTTCATTGCTGTAGTGTTTATTTTGTTTGTTTTATGTTTAGTTTCTTACTTACCCCGCCCGCCCCCCCGCCCCGAGGCGTCTGTCTTAAACTAGCGTACTAAATAAATAAATGAAAATTAGAATTTTTTACATTAACCCCTATTTTCGTACTTTGATAAGGCTCTTATACAGGGGCTATATTAGGGCTCTTTTGTGAGTTGAAGGCAGTTGCACGAACTATATACTCTCCAAAACGACTAGGATTAGTACTCCTGGCAGTACGCGAATTTCGCGACCCTGAGCAGGCGCTGCATAAAGTGCGTGTTCGCGAGGAGGTGCTGCTTATAAGAGCCTGACAGCCACAACTTTACGTCCCAAACGCCACGCCCGCCCGCCCACAAATGGACGACCGTTCCTGACGCTCGTATTCATTCATTTGCTGAGCAAATTATGAAGCGAAGGGATTGGTATGAAGCGGCCGTGATGCTGCATGCATATATGGGTACACATATGCACCGTATCTTCGGTAGCGGTGATTGGTAAGATGCCTACGGGAAACTCGTCCGAAATCGTCACTGAGAACGGAGGCTTTTTCTTCGCAGGATTTTGACCGTTTCACTCCGTTCTTTCGCCATTTCCCCTATACAGCGCCCTACTAGCATTTTAGGCTAAGTAGGAAACCATCGTGCCAACTGCCTTTAATCTAGGCTCTCGACTTACATAAGCAGCTCAGTAGCTGTGGTATGTATGAGTAAGGAATGATGCTCCTTAGAACGGACTCAAGTTGGTTCCTATAAAGAGGTGGGAGTCCAAACTTTGCTAACGTGCATCACATGTTTACAAAGTTAGAGCAGGGCAGAAAATTTTCTATCAAACTTCATAGAATGAATCAATAGAACTTTCCGTCTTTAAGGCGAAATCTTGAGTTAGAAAAAAGTCCCCACTCATGGGCCAACCTAACTCAACTTCAACTCAGAATTGTAGTGACTTTTTCAATGCGACGTGACCTCAATGACTTAGGGTTCTATCAATGTACAAGCCAATGCATTATCTTTACAAACGAGTCTGGCACAAACTCGCCGTCTTCGAAGGATGGAAGGCTTCCTAGGCTTGGGCGACCGCTAATCCGCGAGTGAACACCCGGACGGCGAGCCTGGAATGGGGCCAGACCAGACTACTTTCGCCTCGATAGTTGATTTGAATTTCTCCTCAACGTGAAGGTTGGTTGGAATACACCACGTTAGAGTTTTCGTTGTAAGTCGCGATGACTTCTGGAGGGATGCATTCTTGGCCCATATAGGGGATCGAGGATCACATCAGTGTTTTCGAGGGCCAGCACAAGTCTAGGACTCAGGATTACTTTGTCTCTATATCACCTAGAATTCGAGTATGGAAACCCACTCATATATGATGCGGGGGATCTAGCGACTGTGCCACAATCGCCCTTCATTAAATCAAACTTCAGAGAATCTCTGTGTGGGCATTCCCCTGCATGGGCAGAATTCTTTCGTCCCGCATAATTTCATGACAAGGACGAGCGATGAATTTGAAAAGAGTTGTCATATGATGGAATGCCCCCTCTGGGGAGACTGGTGAAGTCGCAGGCGAAAGCTACGCGAATTCGAATTAGATTTATTGACAAAAAGCTGTCAAGACGTCGCACTTGGAATTCCTTTGTACCGTTGCTTCCACGGTGTGGGTAAAGTAGTGCAGGGTCGGGGGCAGACCAGGAAATAGCCAGCAAATGATAAGCGTTCCCACGGTCACTCCGAAGAACCCCTCAGCGATTGCTCTTCCCCCAGTAGCACCTTTCTACTCAGCCCACATCAAACGCTAACAATAAGCTTGCCTTCAGGAACCAGTGGAGAGAGTTCAGTTCTTTGAGAATCTAACTACAAGAAGCGCAACTTCGGGTTACTTTTAGGGTCGCTGAATAATAGTTCTGATGGCCTATCCTGCCCAACTCATTTGCACCGTTTGGACATTCTGCATAGATTCATCCTCAAATCTTCAAGCTCACCGCCAAATCTGATGCCCGGACGAGCAGCCACCACAGATGACTAGGCAGCCAGCAGACAGCGAACGCAGCAACGATCGTCATGAGCATCCTGGTTACTTTCTTCTTTGCGGACAAGATTTTCTCCTGAAATTTGAAGGTTAGAGACGTGTAAAACATAGAAAAAAGAAAACTACCACAGATGAAATTTTCCTTGAACTTGTCGGGTGGACTTGTTAGAGGAAAGT